AATGTGACCGTCAATGTGCGGGGCGTGGTGCGGTACCTAAAGCGAGGGAGGGGCGGAGAGTGTTCTCGTTACATTTTTGATCTCTGACATAGGCATAGCGTGGTATTGTATGTAGTTAACCAGCAACTAAGAAAAGAAAAATCAATAATAATAATATATATAGATACCAAGTAACAGGACGAAAAAGTAACTGGTGTTACGCGACACGCCTGTCTCGTCTGGTTTGAACTAGGAAATTCCCTATACATAGTATCAAAGTAACGTATTCAATCACTTTGCAATTACTATGTACATTTTAATTTTTATTATATTTAATCTTTTTTTATATTATTAAGTGGCGGAACAAACAAGTTGTACGCCTGATAGTAAGCTACACGCCTGTCCATAACAGTTGCAGTGCCATTCAGAGCTTTAAATCGCAAAGATCTGAGGGGCATTGCCACTGCGCCCGTCACCCTGAGACATAAGTTGACAAGTCCCATATGCCTTTAATTTCTCCAGCACCCTTACCCTCCTAAGCCAGAACGTAGTAATGCTAACATTGCTGCTTGGCGGCAGAAATAGGCAAGGTGGCAGTACTTCCCTAGACGAACTCTTTCACTCTTTTTAATTTTTCGTTTCAAGTAATGAGACAGATGGCGCTACGGCAAAAAAGTCCTTAAAACTAATAACAAAGATCTGCAGCAAGCACTAGAAAAGCTCCGCCAGTTCGTTCCGCGGTTTAGTTGGCACAGCGTCTGGCAAGATTTGCTGGAAGACGTTGTTTCGAATCCAGACGGATCGAAGGAATTTTTTCTTAGCGTTCTATCTCAGTATTAATAATTATAATAAACTAGTAGAGTCACTTCACAAAAATAATTGAATATCATGATAGTCAAACATCGTGACATTCAATTAACTTAATAATTACAGTTATTGATGTTGTTTTACTCCTTAGGTAATTTACTTTTGATATCAGCTTAAGCGTTTTTGATATCTCTGATATTTACGAAATAATCATATGCTTATACCCTATATACTCTAATAAACTATTTTGCTCTTCTTTTATAGTGTATTCAGCGCCCCGAAAGGCTTTGACGTTCTTAGGAAATGAGCTCAATCCTGCTGCCAATTATTGCAGGCTTCATCACATTGGCGTTGGTAAAATATATGAATTTCAACTTCAATATAGAAATTGTCAAGAAAAACTACTCTCATAATGTAAGAAATGGAAAATTTGGATCTTGTGCTAAATTAATCGACCCTGTACGTATATAATAACAATATTAAACATAATTATCAAAAAATGCAAAGATTGGATAATTTTTAAGTGCATAAACATGTCCCAAGTCTTTTAATAACAGGTGGCGCAAAAGTAATGTCATAATGTGAATGTGCCTTTACATGCAAATGGCGTGAAATATCTTTGTGCTTTAACATGTATGTAGACACTTAAAGAATTAGTTGACAGTCTGTTGTTTGAGGATGGTACCATCGTAACCGTAACTGGTGAGCGTTACAGGCAGACGTTAAGAGAATTTTTTTCCGCAATTTCTGAATTGGGTCTCGAGCATAGTTGGCACAGCACAGCTGGAAAGCTGGACAGAGCAACCATTCACTCAGCTCGGGCTGCGATGGAGATTTTTTGGACACTAATTTCCGGGCCGAATGATCTACCGTTTTAGAATTGGAACCGGTCGTCCTTATCGCCATATCTAACGGCGTCAGACTTCTTCTTTGGGGGTTTTTTGAACTCTCGCGTTTACCACAACAAAACACAAACATTGCAAGTCTTGAAAGCTAACATTAACGAAGTAATCGCCAATTTGGAGCCAAATGTTTTGCGAGCAACAATTCAAAATGCCTTAAAACGGACACAAATGCGCATCAACTCGGGAGGTATTCATTTATTTGACTGGTATAATTTGTTCAATTTGTGACGATGCGTCCTCTCCCCCATCGTCATCCCACCTTTTTGTTACCTTTTCTCTGGTTCTAAATCACTTTTTTACTTAATGTCTGACGCGAGCACTCCTGCTCGTCTTCACCACTAATTTGGATCCGTTTACCAGTTTTCGATTCAAATCATGTGACCTATCTACTTAATATCTTTAAAATTAAGTTACCTAACTAATGTTTGTAAAAAATACGGCCCGTTCTATGTAAGTTCTTACTGTCTTACACATGTTTCACAGTATTTAAGTAGGAAGTGTTTTTTTTAATATTGTACCTGTTTTTTGTACTATTTTTATTGTTACAGCCTTTCTACCGTTCTTCACCTTTACTTTATACAGTAAATTCATGTGGACCGAGTAATCTATTATTGCTGCTCCCTATATCCTTTTCTAACTTAACATTATCAATTTTACATCTTCAAATAAAGTCTGAGCTCATTTTTTTTCATTTCAAACAAAATGGAAGCCAAATTCACAATAAGACATTACTTTAGCTTTACCTGTACATGCCCGTATATTCTAGATTCTCATACTTGATCTATTTTAAGGACATCCGCAATCTGATTAAGATACGTAAGCGAAGGTCGACGGTCGAAGGTCTTTTTTTCCATCTTTCATTCCACGTTTACTCTACGGGTCGTTATTCTATTAACAGCCATCCTTTCTATATGACCAAATCGTCGAAGCATCGAGTATATAACCAGAAATAGAGACGAAATAAGGGCCATATATTCCTGGTAACACATTAGCGACACAGCTCTTATAAATATCAACTCCCGTTGCACTAAAATATAGACAGGGTAACTACTGACCTGTGTCTACATCTCCGTATATTTCAAAAAATATTCTATAATATATTGTAATAAAGATAATATCTCGAACAATGCCGTGCTGTTCTATTCGGTGGTGTAGGAAAAACAGCAAAATATCTAATTACGAAACAAACGGAATCAAATTTTCTTTGATAATTAAATATTAAATATGTAATTTTGCAATTTTCGTCCATTATAGCAAAGCTCAAGTCAACTGGTCGTTTCGAAGTGAAACAGTTGACGATACTCATTGACGACACCGGTCTGTTGTTTCGAACTCGGGTTAGCCAATCGGAGCGCAGTTGTCACAGTAATGATATGGCAGAATAGTTTTCAAACAAATTAAATGACATTTCGTCTCTACTTCTGGTTATATACTCGATGCGTCGAAGCTTTTATAATATTTGACATTTGAATAAATATTTCGAAGAAGTGTCATATTTTTAATTGTGGAAATGATTAATATCGGCTTCCAAATCAGGATAAAACACAAATATATTTATATGGACTGTGGAAATTTTAAATATCGTAAGGAACATTTTGTTGTAATGGAAACTGTCACTTACTGCAAATTGTTCTTTCACGACATTTCAAAATTCGATACATCGTCAAAATTTACCCTTATATCTCTTATATTCTAAGAGACATATTGTCGTAAGATCATTTTCCCTTATGACAAAATATCTCTTGCGACATTTCAAATTTCCACCGTCGACTATGTTTATATTTAAATAATATTCAAACTGCAATGGAATATTGAGTCATTGTGTATCACAGAATTTGGTACAGCCGAGAGCACATCAATCTTGACATGTTGGAATTTTAGAGCGCCTTCAATTTGGACGTTTTTAGAAGCGCAGTAGCGGTGCCACTGGAGCGCTTCTAATTTGAAGGCGCGCTTAATTGACGTGCTCTTGACATTGTAATTTAAACTTGAGGGTTGTAATAATTTTACCAACAAATTAATCGAGCAGTAAAACATTTTTAATTTTGAAAAGTTATTAAATGCGACTTCATAATTTATGTTCTTATTTACTTTTTGTTTTGATTAACAGTGATTTTTTTTTAATTTTGTGATCGATACGTGATTACTATCCAAAATATCATACGTGCAGTTTAAGTTTGTTATTAAAAATAGTCCCTTTGCCAATTGGTAATGTTCAAAGTTAAATAATTAATATTTTTTTGTAGGTAATCTTAAAGTGTTGCAAAGAAAGCGACCTTAAACTGCCAGCGCCTGAGGTGATGAAGCAATTTGATGAATGTTTAGTAAACGAAAATCAAAGTAAAGTAAGTTTTATATATTTCGTAGGGTGTATACATTGACTTACAAATAAATGGACGACGGGTCTAATACAAAAACCACGAAAAAAATGTCCCAAGTCAATCTATTTAAACGTGACATGTAAAGGAATATGAAAAAGCTAAAACGTAGAATTTAAATTGTAATGTCATCGCAGTACTGTCTAATTTTGCTTGCTTCGCTGTCAGTCTAACAAACGAAGACTACAGCGTGAATGACGCTCTGTATACGATTTTAACGCCCTATAAGTTCGGACACTTTTTAGCGCGGGCCCGACGTCCATATAATTGTAAGTCAATGGGTGTGTAGTACAATATTTAGTAGCAGTACGGTCAAAGAGTTCATCCAGGAAAGTACTACCACCTTACCTATTTCTGCCGCCAAGCAGTAATGTCAACATAACTGTGTTCCAGTTTTGAAGAATAAGGGTGCCGATGATAAAACAGGTACATGGGACTTGTCACCTTATGTCTTTGCGATTCAAAGCTCTGAGTGGCACTACAACTATTATGGACAGGCGTATAGCTTACCATCAGGCGCACGACTTGCTCGTCCCGTCACTGGGTATAATAAAAAAAAATATTATCTGGTTTAACAAAACCCCTAATAGCTGTAGAGTCTCTGAACTATTAACTAGTTTTGTGTTTACATTAATTTTTACTGTTGGGCGCTCGCGCATTACGTGGGCTGTAAATGCACTTATTTATCTTTAGTAAAGCGTATCAGTAAATGGGAATGTTCCATATTTGAATTAATAAGTAAATAAATGGATGCAATGAGAAAAAGGAGAAGCATACAGCCGATCACATCAAATCGAGATATATTTTAAGAGTCTATACAACCTCTAATACCTGTGTGTCTAATAACTGCCTCTGTGGCCGAACGGTTACCACGCCGGACTGCCACGCAGAGGCCCCAGGTTCGATTCCCGGGCCGGGAGAAATATTTGTATGACCTACATTTATTTCTCTCGTGAGTTTGGGTGTAATTTGTGGTTGTCTATGTGTGTGTCCATGGCACCCGCGACACAGGGTTTCCCTAGTGCGGGGCTATGTTGAGTGTGTGCGTGTGCGTTATGTGTGCGTTAAAAAAAAAAAAAAAAAAAAAAAATGATTTGATTGATTCCTCATAACACTGAAAGTATTGAATCAATCACTTTGGGAAAAACTTTTCACGATAGAAAAAAAAACCACAAACTTACCTCGAAATTTTTCAGAAAAACCACTGTATTCAATAGGTACTGTACATATACCAATGTTTTTTTTTTAATAATAACTGAACTAAATAGAATACGTATACTGTACGACATACATTTTTCAAATGACTTTACTTTCGTTTGTAAGAAAATAAATTCTGAAATATAACCAGTGAAAAATGAACCATATTAGTACAGGAAAAAAATTTATTCGAGCGGAGGTTGAATCGACTCTTAAAAAATAAAACATCACAATTTGAAACCCGTCGACGAATCAAGTTAGACGTCAAAGCCCGATCAGCTACCACTACTTCTGTACTACGCTTTATATACGCTACTCTGCTTTACAATGAGATTGGCTACCTGAGTCACATGAAAGCGCACGAGCTTCGCCAAAAGTGGTCGCAGAAAATGATCAGAATGTCTAAATAAATTATTAATAAACGGGAACATCTGTGATAACTTTTATAAAAAGAGACGCAGCTCTGCACCCCTGGCTATGCTACATCTTTGGTGTTAGTTGAGAAATCCGAAACACTAATTTCAAATTCTAGATCCACATCGACGGTGTTGATTGTATCAATAAAGATTTTTAACCCAAATATTTCTTGTAAAAAATCTAAATGTAAATTATTATTTTTTAATTTCTCCTTTTTGAGGGGGAGTACTGTAGCAGCCACCAGACGTGCCAGAATTTCGAACCCTCTTCTGGCATACAGGCACGTCTTAGTGCAAGCAAAAGATAACTGTGAGAACACGTATCATATAGTATAAATGAGTTTTACAAAATATAATACATCAGTCAATCATCTACCAACTTAATATCATGTGTACTTACATCACCATGGCATGGCGCAGCGGTAACAACTAACACCCTTTCACCTGCGTCATGGTACAGGGTCAAGAACACGTCAAGTTTGACACTAAAGGTTTAAATTTAACTCTATACCGCTTGCAACAAGAACGGTCCAAAGTCCAAAGTGCCAAGCTTCATGTGCTGTTAACTGTACATAAAATAAGACGACAATCAAAATTCTTAATTTTTTTTCAGTGCGAGCCTGATAAATGCATAGCAAAAAAGCTCCATCTCCTCACTGAAAAAGATGTATTGAATGGCACAGCTGTAGAACTTTTCATTTTGGATCGATATCCTTATAACGCGTTGGAATACATATTGACCTGTGTACACAACGACTCGTCATATTACGACGACAGTGAAGATAAGAATTTGTGCGACATAATACGTTTGAAACGCTGTCTGACAGCTCAAACAATTATCGTAAGAATCCCGTTCGCTAGATAATATCGTAGTCATTGGTAATACTTTGTGTCAGAACATTAGGCAAGTGAAGTGGATTCAATGGCAATATTTTTTTTTTAATAATAATTTGAATCTGTTTCACTGAAGTTGGTTCACATTTTTTTACTTGATAATTATCATCATTAATAATTACAATAACATTACATAGGAGTCCCGTAGTAACGTTTGTAATGTACAGTCGATACCCCTAACTATCTATTTAATTCTGAGTAGATCAGAGTGAAGAAAGGTGTCTTACGAACTTAACCCTAACATTCATTTTGGTCTGACCTCCTTATTTGATCATTAAACATTTTAAGAAACTTTTTAAACTAATTTCATCTTTAATTGCATAACATAAATATAAATTTCGACCAAAAAGCTGAAATTCCTTCTCACTTTTCTGTTGAATTCGAAAAAAGCTCTCAGAACCAAAATTTTGAAGCAGTAGAACTCCTTGTGAAGCAGATCGTCTAAGGAAGCACTGCCACCGTATCTATTTCTCCCGCCAAGCAGTAATGTCAGCATTACTGTGTTCCGGTTTTGAAGGGTAAGGGTGCTGGTGAAATTACTGGCACATGGGACTTGTCAACTTATGTCTCAGGGTGAAAGTGCCCCTCAGATCTTTGCGACTTAAAGTTATAAGTGGCAATGCTACTGTTATGGACTTTACTACTTTTAATGTAAGTTTCAAACTTAGGAAACGATAATTTTAATATAATATATGCTCCGGAATCTTATTGTAAAAACGTACCTAAATATATAGTTCCCCACTGGCGAAATTACAGGCACATTGGACTTACCAACTTATATCTCAGGGTAACGGGCGCAGTGGCAGTGCCTCTGAGATCTTTGCAACTTAAAGTTCTGAGTGCCACTGTAACTGTTAAGGACAGGTATGTAGCTTACCATAAGACGCACAACTTGTCCGTCCCGTCACTTGATACTATAAAAAAAAATCAGGCTTTCAGGTCGGGCACGGGCATCGACTTTACTTACAATGGCAATATTGCTAAACAGTAATTTATTCCAGGTGAAAGCGAGTGTCACTAAAAATATCAACTAATAACTTACTTGGTTGTAACGGGCTGGTGTAACTTTTATATATAACTTATAGAATACACCTACTATACATATTTGGTTTGTACAGGGTACTTGACACTTAAGGTTTAAATTCACTTACATTAGGTACGGAGCAAAGTCCTAAGTGTCAAGGTTCATATGCCCTTGACTGTAACTTACTATTCTACTTTACACCAAAAATATGCTACCTATGTTACAACGGTTTATGTAATTAACTACAGTACCGACACGCTATAATGGCCGTTTTGACAGATTACAATAGTGAGGTGAAATCACAATTCATTATCGAAAAAATATAGTCGAATGCGAGTCGCATCTATAAGTTTTTAGATTAATAACTAATATTGCAATGAGTAGCTGATTAAAAAGTTTTAATAAAACGAAAATAAAAATGTTATCGTCAATTCGAAACCACTTTGTTATACACACATCAAAAGTGTCTAGGGATCAAGTGAATATTTTTGAAATAAAAATTATTTAAGCAATATTTACCAAATCCAGTCTTCCAGGACGACTTCTTACTTTAATGCTTATGTTTTATTTAACCGCTTACCCCTATATTTAATTAAAATAAACTAAAATTGATGTTTTTGCAAATTGTGGGAAAAAACTCAAATTAACGGCGTCAATTAAATGACAAAAAAAATGGCGAAAATGATGATTTGCTCATTTTTATTGTAAAGATAAGAAAATTAATAATCTGTATTTCCACCATTAACACGAATCACACAATTACAGCGATTTGGCATGCTTAAGATGAGTTCATCAAAATCACTTTGAGGAATGGCCGCCCATGTGTTTTGTAACAAGTCAAAATATTGTTGTAGAGTATGTACGGTATGCATACTCGGCACAGCTCTTCTTTGAAGCATATCTCATGCGTGCTCAATTGGATTGAGGTCTGGCGATTGAGCAGGCCACGGCAGAACGTTGATACGAGCTTCGGCAAGAATGCGTGTTACGACTCTAGCCGTGTGTGGACGTGCGTTGTCATGCATTAGTTGAAATGAATCACCCAACTGGCCTCGCAAAGGGATGATAACATCTGAAACAATCCTCTCTGCGTAAACTTGAGCATTGAGGTTACCCCTGATACAAATGAGAGACGGTTGTTCCGCCAATCCAAATACCGGCCCATATCATTATTGTTCCCCCACCATATGGATGAACTTCCTGACAATATCTCAAACGTTCATGACGTCCAGATGTTCTCCAAACTCGAGTACGTCTTGTATCCGGTCTCATACCGAAGCGGGATTCATCCGAAAAGCACACATAGCGCCAGTCTTCTTCCTCCCAGTTTCTGTGTTCGCGAGCCCATCGTAAACGGGTCCTGCGATTGCAGGCTGCAATAGGTGGAACTCTGAGCGGCCTTCGGGATCGCAGACCCACTTCACGTAAACGATTTCGGATTGTTTGATCGCTTATTAGCAAGCCTGAGGAGCTGTGGAGCTTCGTAACCAACATCATGGCGGTCATGGTACGATTCCGTCGAGCAGTATTTTGGATATACCGGTGCTGTCTGCGAGTCGTGATGCGAGATCGTCCTCCATGTCACTCGGCCACGCTGCCCGTCATGCGATAGCGCGTCCAGAGGCGACTTATGACGCTCTGTGTAGTGTTAAGAGTGAAAGCCACAGCACGTTGCCTGGAACCAGCTTCCAACATTCCGACGGCTCGCATCATCACTTCTCGGGTTAAATGATGTCGTCTCTCCATAATAATGCAAATTGTTTCGGTTCCGATGCAGATATTGTAATGATTTTGTCAAAACGCTATAACTCATTTTTATACAAAACCACATTGACAATCGATTTTCTTCTTATTATCGAATTTTAAACAATATTCCTTATTTAAATGTTAAAACTCACTAAAAAGTATCAATAGCGATACAAAAAAGTTAATATAATTAACCCTAATTGCAGCAATACTCTTAAACGTACTTGATCCCTAGACACTTTTGATGTGTGTACATTGAAATTTGACAAGAGTTCGCCGGAGGTAGAAGTTGTGATGGCCAGCGATCCATAAGTGACGATCGTATTAGATTGCATTTTGAAAAATTTCGAATTTCGAGATGAGCGGACAAATGTCAAAACTATGAATATAAACAAACCGCAATGAAGCATTTTGTGAGGCACTACCTGGTTACTTATTGTAAAATTATAATGATTTTTTTGAAAATATTCCTAAACATATATAATATTTTCTGGTAACAAACAAATTTCAAACTACCTGTTTAAAATAGTACTAAATACATAATATAAATATAACATTTTAATTAAAGATGTTTAATAACGCGTGTCACAACTTTCCTACGATAAAAATCCAGCCTTTAAAAAGATGACAGCTAATAACATGCTACCAAATTAAAGAGTATAGCAGTAATATGACGTATGAAACTCACTACTAAAAAATTTGTGACCGCTGAAGTTTGTTTACTTTTTGTTAATTATCTACATCTTTAAACTGTACACATCGAGTACATAACCAGAAATAGAGACGAAATAAGTGTCAATCATCCCTGGCAACTCATCAGGCAAATAGGCCTTATATCACATTTAAATATCAACCCTCGTTTGCGCTGAAGTCACAAATAAGAAAGCTGAAATATATAGCGCCAACAACTGACCTGTGTGTATTGTATTAAAGATAATATCTCTAACAATGGGGGACTGTTCCATTCGGTGGTGTGGGAAAAACAGCAAAACATCTAATTACAGAACAAACGGAGTCATATTTCATCAGTAATTAAATATTAAATATGTAATTTTTCCATTTTCGTCAATTAAAGCAAAGCTTACATTGTTAAACTTGTCGATTTGAGTATTTATTTATTCTAGTACGACCTGGCCAATCGGAGTGCAGTTGTCACCGTAATGATATGGCAGAATAGTTTTCAAACCAATTAAACGACATTTCGTCTCAATTTCTGGTTATACAATGTGTTGATTTGCATTCTCACCATATTTACAGAGGTCATTCCATATCTAAAACTAAACCCCAATCACTAAAAAAATAAATCGAAAAAAAATTTCGTAAATTCCTATTTTTTATTTAACTACGGTAAACAAATTTGATCCAAAGGTCATTAGTACGGCACTTGCAAACATTTTGAACAATGACCTTAAATGCGCAGAAAGAAACGCATTTTAGATCTATTTGGTGGTGGGGTGCGAGTAGCGACGGTGGGGAAGTGTCGTATAGAGCGCGCGATTGGTAGATCAGTCGACATTGCTTCCCGTACTGCGTCTACGTCTCGCTGATATCGCACATAATTCTATTCTAGTCTATCACGAAATGTCACGTGGTTCGGTTTGGTATGTAAACAAGAGTTAGTAGTGCAAAAAAAAGAACCGCTACCAGGTTATTACCAGTAGACCCTACATGGTAATCCACCAAGTACAAGTGCGTGTCTATTCTTAAGGCATGATGTGAAACGTTTAGTCGAAGTTTCTGCTTTTAAAGTTGTGAAGTCTAATGTTGAAACGAAACTCACGTGCGAATCTCTCTCTGCACAGCAGTGAAGCTAGGTACTCTAGCAATACTTTCAAGTAACCTAAAGTTGGTAAGTACCAAATCTAAGTTACAAAAAACTTTTTTCAGTCAACTTTTCTAATTATTGTAAAGAAATAGTAAATCATAACAATACTAGTATATAATCATAATTTAAAAGATAGGTTAACAAGCGATCGAGAAAGATTACATATCGCTCGGTGAAGCGGGTGGCGGGGTCACTGCCCTTGCGTGGTGCACACAACTTCGAGACAATTTTGCAAAACTTTACTAGATACAATTAGGCAGAATATTGAACAGAATATTTTTTTAAATATTTTTTTATTTAGCTTTATTTCCATTAACTTCCTAACAATGGCGAGAATGCAAATCAACACACTGTATACTCGATGACTGTACATGAACAAAGAAGAACAACTTCTCTATGTAGTATAAAAAGCTTTATTTTCTGTGGGAACAGTGGCGTATCGTCGATTACTGCCGCCTGGGGCCAACCTTAATTTGCTTCCCTCTCCATTTTCACGATTACAATAGTAGTCCGTTCGGGCAGGCTCGGCTCGATTGTGTTTTTGATTTCTCAAATAGTGGCATTTATTTTCTAAATTAAAAAGTCGATACAACCTCAAATGGCTTTGATCGATTCCGCATAACAGAGAAAGCGTTGAATCAGTCTTTTTGGAAAAAAAAAATATTGAGAACATACTTTAAAATGTAAAAAAACGGTAGAAAAAAAAACACAAACTTACCTCGAAATTTTACAAGAAAACCGTTGTAATCAATAGGTACTTGACATACAACAATGATTTTTTTTATATCAACTGAACTAGATAGGACACGTATAGTATACGATATTATATATATAAAAAACCTAAGCAAAATGAACCGTATTAGTACGGGAAAAACTTCAATTCGAACGGAGGTAGTATCGACACTTAAGTAAAAAAAAATAATTTTGACTAGCTACGCCACCCTCGTTGCCGCCCTCATTGCTGTGCCGCCCTGGCCATGGCACTCTCTGCACCCACCATGCTAAGCCACTGTGTGGGAAAGGTGTGACGTGAACATTTATTGTATATACAATGCCCGACAAAGTGCGTTCGAATCAAAAACAATTCTGTTCCCTCACCGACTCTGCCATGTAACACTTTACGGTTCAACTTTTGTAATTTATTATACATTTTAGGGGTGTAGTGTATATGATGCAACAACTTACCCAGACTTGTGTGGAGATATCGAAAAAGTCACTTATCAATGCACCACGGAGTTCTTACCTATCTCGTACCGTACCGTACGTAAAATCCAAGTTTTTGTAATAATATAATACGGCTTTTCGTTTTTCTATACATCTAATTTTTTATTTATTATTTGCAGTAGTCGAGCTTCTTGTGATAGAGTTCGTCCAGAAAAGTACTGTCACCTTATCTATTTCTGCCGCCAAGCAGTGATGTGAGCATTACGGTTTGGAAGAGTAAAGGTGCTGGTGACATTACTGGCACATGGGACTAGTTAACTTATCTCTCATGGTGACGGAAGGCCTGAGTGCCATTGCAACTGTTATGGATAGGCGTGTCGCTTACCACCAGGCGTACAACTTGTTCGTCCTATCACTTAGTGTTATAAAATATATATATATATAACAATCATAATTCAGCCTTTTGTTCGAATAGCGCCTTCATTTCATCAAAATGGCTAGCACGATTGGGCGTGACTAGCGCGAGAGCAACATAAAGCGCGTTATACTGCGATATAATTCTCGCGTAGAGATCTCGCGCTCTCGCGCAAGATGCTAACCCTACAAATCAAATAAAATTTTCACATTTCATATTAGCTTATTCTAATGCTATGCTGTGGTAGCCTAAAGGTTTAACTTAACGCCTCTCAAGCATGGATTCGAACCTCTCAGTTTTTCGGAATTTATGCGCATATTTACCATGAGCTTTTCCGCTTTTTTTTTCTTTTTACCCGAGGGAATCTGTACCCTGACAGACACAACGGTCACCTGACTCCAAATGTAAGGCTCCCCGAACACCAGACGAGCCTTCCATCTCGGGCCCCTCCATTCTGGGCAGCGAACTCCCCCGAGTCCGCTTCCCAGGGGCCATGGGGCCATGACAACTTCCCCTTAACTGTGAAGTTCAGAGGATGCTCCCCCAGCCCCCACGGCGGATATGTTGGTAGGCTCCGCCGTAACACCCTACGCGCATCTACGTGGACTCTCCGTAGAGAGTCCTTTGGAGCGCCCACCGCACGGGCCAATCGCCCAAATTCGGCAGCGGAGCACAGAACGAGCGGCAACGACACACCGACACGTCCCTTCCCCCGCGACCCTCCTCACCGCCTGCGTCCGCGCGGACACGCTCGGCCTAGATCAAGACGAGCCCACGCGGTACGCTCTCCTCCTCGGGCCAGCCTAGCTCCATCGGCCGGCCCGTGAGTTCCTCTTAGCTTCACCGTAGGAAATCGTCCACGGCTACTAGAGCCCCCCCGCCACGATAAGGCAGCAACCCATTCGGGGGGGTGTACGAGCTACCTCGACATCATTGTGAAATTGATACTGTTAAGTATATTAAGCATTGCAAAGCTAAATACTCATGACGTTGGTCATAACATAAAAAGCTATTACGTGTTTATTTTAAAGAGAGTTCAATAAACGAAATGATTGGGTTCGGATACGTTTCATTGCCAACATCCCGTTCCTGTGATTAACAGGTTGATTCTCCAGCAAACAATAACATCTTACAGTAAGGAAGTGAGCGTACACAAGCAAATTTCAGTGACGTGTGATGCTGATCGTGATGAAATCTATACGTCGAAGAAGGTTCACAGCCGTCGGAAAACATGTGACGTCCCCAAACAAAGCGTGGATGACTATGGTCTAAACCCTCGCCTTGGTAGCAATAAGCCTCGTGACTCGCGAAGGAGTTTTCTTGTAATTCTATGTTTGTATTTTTATTTATTTTAATTTTTGATTGTATGTATGTAAACACTTTATTGTACAACACAAACAAATTACAAATTTTTAACAAAAATATAGAACGTTATTGTAAAAAGTCGAGCTTATCCCATAAAGGGATTTCTACCAGCTAACGTTTGAATAATTGAAAGAAAAGTTGGCTCCTGAGTCGGCAATAAAATGTAATAAATCATTCAATTGAATGCTACGTACTCAATAATTAAAGAATAAATTTATTAAGTATATCAAATGTACATACGAATACATAATATTAAATAAATGATTATACACTAATACATATAAAATATATAGTAAAATGAACGTATAAATTAAAACTATAACTAAATATGTGAAATGTAAATAAATATTTTGTAAGCTCTAACATAAGGAGTCTGAATAATCCCAAGATTTCAAAAGGGCACCTCTAAAAGCCCGAACCGAAGGTGACTGTCTGACCTGGACTGGGACAAGGTTCCACATACGAGCAGAGTTCTTTGTGAACGACTTACTAACAATTTATTCATTTGTTTATTTTATTTATTTTCTTTTATCTCCCTTCTTTCCCATTTTTTTAAATTTCATCTTTTTGTGAAAGAGTTCGTCCAGGGAAGTACGCCTTGCCTATTTCTGCCGCCAAGCAGTAATGTCAGCATGACCGTGTTCCGGTTTTGAAGGGTAAGTATGCTGGTGAAATTACAGACGCATGGGACTTGTCACCTTACGTCTCAGGGTAACGCCCTTAGTTCTTTGCGATTTAAAGGTCTGAGTGGCACTGCAAATGTTATGGACAGGCGTGTAGCTTACCATCAGACGTACGACTCGTTCGTCCCGTTACTTTATATTATAAAAAAGAGAACATGGGTAGATGGCGCTATTCCTAACTAAAATAATAGAACAACCGGCAGTATCCGTAAAAATCTGTGAAATAAACGCCATCTAGTTGATTTGTTTATCACTAGAAATTAGAGTACCTTTCAAATATCTATTTTTTTATTCTAATGTAAGTGTGGACCTGATAGAAAGTAACGACGAGGTCGACGATGGAGCATGCACACCTATAATGTCTAAATTACAGCTCGTCAATGTAAAACAAATTATAGTACCGGCACGCTATGATGGCCGTTTTGACGTTTGCCCGCTCATCAAGTTTCGTATCCATTCATAACTACGTTAAAGTAGCTAATTACTGTATGTACGGAGAACGGCACATCAGACTGCATGTTTTTCTTCGAAAATCGCCTCCAGTGCAACGGAACAAGATACGTCAATGTGTACCTTGATGTGCTGGCGTGTGTACATTGTTGTCAATAGTGACGTGTAGTAAAATTTATGGAATATATAATTTTACGACACAACTCGGCATTTGTTGTTCGAAACTCGAAATTTAAAAAAAATGAAATATATATAAATAAATAACACGATAGTCACTTATGGGATTGCTGGCCAGCACAACTTTTACCGCCCGCGAACTCGCATCAAAGCTCAAGTAAAATTCTTTATTTTCGTTTTATTAAAACTCGCATCAAAGCTCAAGTAAAATTCTTTATTTTCGTTTTATTAAAACTTTTTAATAAGCTACCCTTTGCAATCCTTGTTATAAATCTATAGATGTTACTTGCATTTGATTGTATTTTTTTCGATAATGAATTGAGATTTGACCTCACTATTGTAATCTGTCAAAACGACCATCATAGCGTGCCGGTAGTTACAATCTCAGTACAGAGTACTAAAAAACAGACTTCAAAAGTCATTCGCCCCTAGTTTGCCGCCCTTAAAGTTGAAATATTTTCTTCAAATTTAAATGGGATAACATTGACTTACAATTATATGGACGTCGGGTCCGCGCTAAAAAGTGTCCGAACTTATAGGGCGTTAAAATCGTATACAGAGCGTCATTCACGCTTTAGTCTTCGTTTGTTCGACTGACAGCGAAGCAAGCAAAATTAGACAGTACTGCGATGACATTACAATTTAAATTCAACGTTTTAGCTTTTTCATATTCCTTTACATGTCACTACGTTTAAATAGGTTGACTTGGGACATTTTTTTCGTGGCTTTTGTATTAGACCCGTCGTCCATTTATTTGTAAGTCAATGTGGGATAGCGTCTGAGGTACCCTCTGTAGAATTGTTTTATACTAAATTGATGGAATATATGTTTATGTCATAGTAAGTTAATGTAATAACTGATTCCTGGCACATAATAGATAGTATGTGACCACTAGATGGCATTGTATTATACGGAATATTGGTGACAAATAGGTGGCGCTATTTAACTCCAAAATTTGTTTAATCCAAAGGAAAGGTTGACCAAATAACAAACCAAACGTAGATTCGTTTTATTTAGATCGTTAAAATTATTATTGACACATAATAAATTATTGCAACGTCTAAACTTAAGTATTTTCCGTTTCCGTTACATCCCACCTCTCTACTAAAAAGTAGGGTGGAGTGGAGAGACGGAGGTGGTGGAGTCGGCCGATGCTCGGTCGGTTTTGTTCTGTTCATGAGGCCGAAAGACAGTAGGAGTGAATTACTATACAGCCTTTTTAAATTAAGAATCTGTGATCAGCTGTTTTATAAATATAGCGATATTTCCGATCAACTTGGTATTATTTATAGATATATATAGAGATAGATATTTATCTAAGTATGTATATTCAACTACGAAGAGTGCTGTAACACCTCTTTCCAACAAGATAAGAATCATCAAAATCGGTAACATACATACAAAAAAACATAGTCGAATTGAGAACCTGCTCCTTTTTTGAAGTCGGTTAAAAATAGCTGTTGGGTACTCGTCACGACCTCTGGTGTACTAATAGGTACTAAATATCCGACTACACTGCCTTGTACCGCGATTAGCAGCCCTCTGGAGTTATTTAATGGTCCATGGTTACGATAAGTTTTGCGGTCAGACAGTACATGACCGCAACCTTAACAAATGAGCATTTTCACGGTTAGAATTAAAGTAACTGTGTATAATTACTTTTTGCCGCTTATGTGTTGTACGAAGATCAAATTTATACACATTTTATGGTTTAATACAGAAATATGTACTTGGAAAAAATGTTTACAGTGCTATTTATTATAACGACCAATGGCCTCAATGCAATAAAGGTGACGTAAGGACTTGTTATTTATGAATAACGGTATACAGGGTGTTTTTAAAATACTAACAACCTCGCAGGACCATATTACTAACATCATAGACAACAACTTTTGTTCCATAACTTTTAATAATTCATCACATTTTACTTTCATACAAAAATAAAAATATTTTTATCAAACATACTCGGTAATGTTTGCATTATTTTCAAAAAACGAACACGGAAAGTTTGTCATTTATGGTCCGTACGACTTCTTCCCGGCCAAGACCTGCAAAGTCAGTATGAAAACCTTAGAGGGTGGAAAAAATAAAGGAAAGGAGCTGCCTTAGCTACGGAATAAACGTCCCTACTTAAACCAAAAATGTCCACCACAAATGGCGGATTTAGTGTTGTACCATAATCATAGATACGTCAATATCGACATGCAAATGTATAGCTTGAATGTTGAAACTGTTGTTACTGTGTTTTATGTTTGCAAATTTGTGTAGTTTACTGTAATCAAAGTATGATTAATACTAGGCAAGTAATGAGCCATTTTAATCAAAATTAAATATAAAGTTATTTACCAACAAATGTAACGATGGAATTGCATTATCATGTAATCTAGTTAAATAATGAAATAATAAAAACTTCGTAGTGAATTGTTTCAATAACAGAATATCGATAATATGTCTGCTTACAAGAACAACACTATCTCAAAATAATCGTTATCAACAATCATCAAAATATACTAACAAACAGGTAATCTAAAGTAACCAAAGCAACATTCAGCAATACTTATGAATAAACTACTTTAATGGGTCTAATTACACGAGATATTTCGGCTATTGTATGATTTATAGGCAGAAAAATAACACATGCCGGTGTAATGAAACATTCGGTTGATTTCCGTTTTTTCTACTGCCGCATCCCTTAATGCTGCTGCGATGCATTTTTATCAATACTTAATTGTTCTCACTGTCAATATTTTTGTCCATTTCATTACAATTCATGCGAATATTTCACTAAAACATTTGGCCAAACATTGGTTTTGACATTTGATGTACTTCCCTTTGACAACCAGATACGGATGTCAAAGGGTACTCCAAAAATGGTAAAATGAGGACAATTGGCATTTAAGATGACGGTATTTTCGATTCCCGTGTTTGACATAAATCAATGTAGTGCTATCTCTTTTGGCTTACGACGGCACGCAGTAGTTAAATAACGACAATAAAATGTTTATGTTTTCACCATCTAAATGCATCATAATATATACATATAACGTCTGATTTATACATGTCAATATAACATGTCCTTTGGTTTCCATAGTCTAAGATGAAAATCCATTACTATCCACTTCACTAAACTTTCAAATCTACCTACTAATAATGAACTATGTAAACAGGCAAGAGAAAATCTCAAACAGCAAACTGCCAAATATTCGTAATTGCGTTGTAATTTATTCGTATTTTTTTAATTGCTCGGTAATTATTTTTATTCATACTTGATGAGATTTTACCTGTGATCCGGTATATTCTTAATTTTTCTATCAGCAGCGGGGAATTTCCTTCCCTTTGGAAGAAAGCTCTTATCACTCCTCTTCCCAAAAAAGCCAATCCTTTTAACTTTTCTGATTTCCGACCTATTTCTATACTTCCCTTTCTATCAAAGCTGCTAGAAAGACTAGTTAATAACCAAATTACTCCTTTTCTCATACGTAACAATCTTCTCAACCCCTTTCAATCCGGCTTCCGACCAGGACACAGCTCTTGTTAGGATCACTGATGACATTAGGTATAGTATGTCGTAACAGCAACTCATTGTAATGTCATTGCTTGATTTTAGCAATGCATTCAACAACGTTGATCTTGACATTTTGATTGCACTTTTACGCACTCTTAACATATCTCCAACGGTAATCTCTTGGTTTCATAGTTACCTGCATGGGCGTCGGCAATGTGTTCGTATTGATGAGAGATTCTCTTCTTGGTGTGACATCAGTGCCGGCATTCCACAGGACGGCGTTTTATCGTAGATTGTCTGCCAAGCAACCAGTACATATTCCTGTAATGAATGCCTAGTTCTTCTCGTTTTTTCTTGACGTGGGCTTAAATAAGAAAGTAAAAATTAAATTAATGGCTCACAAAGGTTGAAGGTTAAGTTTGTTTAGACCTCCTCCTCCAACTCCCACACTGCAAATCGTTCAGCCACCTTGGCCGTCATTGACGTAAAATGATGTGCACATGACACACAGTCAAGTTGCCCGGTAATGCTAGTAGCAGGAAGTGAAAGAATTCGTCCAGTGTAGTACTGCCACCTTACTTATTTATGCTACAAAGAAGTAATGTCAGCATTCCTGTGTTCCGGTTTTGAAGAGTAAGAGTGCTGGTGAAATTGCAGGCACATGGAACTTGTTAACTTATGTCTCAGAGTGACGGGCGCAGTGGTAGTGCCCCTCAGGTCTTTGCAATTTAAAACTCTAAGTGGCACTGTAACTGTTATGGACAGGCGTGAAGTTTACCATCAGACGCACGAATTGTTTGTCCTGTCACTTGATGTTATAAAGAAATATATATAATATGTAAATGACTACAAGCGAAAGCATTCATGAGATTTGAACTTTCTTTTTAAACTAGCACTGTTTGTTTCTAGGCTTATACTGTGGAAGAATGTAGGGTTATAAAGGTAAGAATAGACATAACTGCATTTGCGGAAGTGTACATTTAAAACCATTTTCTGAAATAAACTTTTTTTGAAAAAAACTATTGTTATGCACGTGGAATGAAACTAATTTTGCGTTTAAAAGGGATTTTTTTATTGTATTCAATTTATTGTTAGAAATTACGTACAAAGTCAACCGACACAAAATTGATGTTTATTCTAAAAGTTACTTGTAAAGTGAGAACTTTTTCTATTGTAACCCAGGAATGGTAAATAAATTTTTGTGGTTTATGACTAAAATTCCCAGAAAACAGTCAGTTTTCATTTTATAAATAAATTTTAGAACAACTAAACGAAAACATTATTGCAATTCAACATTTTTCAAACATTTTAGACATCAGTACAATGTTGCGTAATAAATGGACCACCGACAGATCCAGACACAATTGACGATGTAAGGAAATGTTTTGAGGACATTCCCAAAACGGATACACAAAATGTACGTAATATCGTCACTGTCTTCACTAACTGACGTACCTGACGTATTGTCAGATACGTCATATTAAATCTAGCCTTCGAAACGAATATGCTCCGCTTATTGTCGGGTTGACTTTTTATACACCATCGAGCTACACGTGCACATTATAAAAAAATATTATCAAAATGGATGTTCTATTGCGGCAATGTTGGGCGCGTAATAGACTGCCTCGGATTTTCCTGAACACTCACGAACAGCGGTGATAGTTTCAGCAGATCTTGTGGTACCTTGACGAACGGGTGTTGGCTGATGGTTCACTGAAGCGGTTGACTCGAATTTGCCCACCAAACGTTGAATAGTCTACTATGTAAACCGTAAAATGGGCACAACTTATGCATCGTTGCCGCAATAGAACACCCATTTTAATAATATTTTCTTTTAATTTGCACGTGTTACTTGACGTGCCATATGATCTGCCTTTAGTGACTGAAAAGTAAACACAGATTCGACAAAATCAGCCTCAACAACATGGCCGCTGTGGACGGTCAAAATCTACCAGTCCTTAATGGAAAACCCTTTAAAACCGTAAAGGAGACAAAAAATCATGGCGTCACGTGATTGCAATTAATTCGTTTATCAACTTTTTGCAGTAATTAGTTCGAAAGGTCGAACGATGATAACGAAAGTACAGATAATAAATGGGACCTTACAATCTTATTTAATGAGTTGTTAATTTTTAGTGTGACATCGACATATGTGTAGCACAGACAAAAGGTTATGTGACACCAGAAAACCAAATAAACAAGGAGGTATTAGACGAAGAAGTTGCTTATAGCTTTGATCATATACCGACTTTGCTGAAACCTGTAAAGGAAAATTGTGTCTATGGTGATTTGTCGAGATTTGGTTCAGCCTGTGAGTTCATTCTTACTAGGCGATGCATTCATTTACATATGATAGCGGTAAGTATAAAAACGTTTTGGTAAAGTGCAACCTAGTTGAGCCACAATTACATTAAAAATTATTGTCAATTTTTAAATTATTTTACAAAATTTTTTGTCGACATCGCCTCTTGCATTCACCTTCATATTCTTCACGATTTTCAGCCAGCTTCTTGAACTCTTTATAGTAACTCACTCTAACTTTCCCTTTTGTTTGCTCACACTGAATACGCTTCTCAATCTTCGTCTTCTTTTCGTTTCTTCTATATTCCCCTTTATCATTACCTTAATATTTTTTCATTACACGTAATATATGTTCAAATAATTTCCAAATATGCAGAGTAGCAGAGTTCCGAGAAATAATACACAAATCACAAAAATTTTATACGAGGCTGTCATTAAGTAAACCTTATGGTTAATAAGATTTTGCCATATTTTGTCAGTAGTAACATTTTCATTTGTCTCGCCATTCAGCAATTTGATCAATTACCAACAGAAAACCATCTAACAAAATTAATTAGAGCAGTCGCAAGTTCATAATGACGTGCGTTTTCATTATTTAAGTTAATCGATACTATCTTCTATTACAAAAAGGTGTTATTTAATAAACTCATTTTATTGGAAGGATAATAGTTTTAACATTGAAAGTAGATTAAAAATTAAAGTCTTAATTTTTTTTAAGGAACATCATTTTAAAAACAAGTAAAATAAAGGACTTAACTATCTTATTCTAGTATTTTTCTATTATATTAATATGACGACTATTTGTAATCGACAAATACTTGAACAAAAATTATTTTATTTAAAATCGATTAATTGAATGGAATACGCGTAAACACGCGTTCAATCAATCGATTTAGAGCGAGCGGAAGGAGATTTCCATACTAAATAGTTTTTGTGACGTCATAGTGGGTACAAGAAATGTGGTACGCTTGGTTTTCATAAATTTTCATAAATTGGTGTTCTTGCGGCGTCTATCTAGATATATGTCTGTGAGGATAACCGTAGAAATGCAATCGTTAAATCGATTAATACGATTGATATAACTATAGACAAGTAGAAGAATAGATTAATTTCATACAAAGTACTGATGATAGATCATTACATTACGGAAAATCTTAACATCACGATTCAAGAATTGCGTTTTCTATGCCAGTGCCATCTAGTGGTAAACTACCAGTTGGAACTATTGTTACAAAACACTGGCCATGGTTATTACATTAGGGAAAATCTTAACATCGCTATTGAGAAATTGTGTTTTCCACGGAAGAATTTATGTGGTCTGTGGTGTTTTCTATGCCAATTTCACTTAGCGGTAAACTTCGGAACTATCGTTACAAATGTTGCTAAAGTTATTGTGTTACATTAGTACATACTTGTTTATCAAAACCGGTAGCAGTTAGTTTTCAAACGAGAAAATATCTTAAAAATGATTTATTCCATAGCTAAAATAAGTTTACACTTGAAAACGTCATTTTTGTAGCTACTGCTCGTTCATTATCATAAATAACACGATAGAGATATGGTTTTAGAATTAGACAGCAAACTTATAAAATCTAAAGATAAAGTAGCCCAAGCTTTTGAATCGTTCTTTTCGGAAATTGCTGTGAACACTACAGAATCATTAAATTCCTCCCCTTCACTTGCTATTGATCTCCTAAAGGAAAATGTTAACGTTTGTGGCAGTTTATTTAATTTCCGTCATGTTAATCCACAAGACATCATAAAAGCTTTTAAATCAATACTGTTAAAAAAACTGAAGATCTCTGGGGCATATCAACTAAAGTTATAGACTCAGTTATTGATTTAATTTCCCCACATTTAGCTATAGCTTTCAATAGGTGCGTTGAAGAAGGTGTTTTTCCCGATTTAATGAAATACAGCAAGGTTATTCAAAAGCGGTAGGAAAAATGATCCTAGCAACAATAGGCCCATTTCAATTTTACCAGCTTTAAGTAAAATATTCAAAAAGGTTATGCTAACTCAATTACTGTCCTATTTCGGTAGGAATCATATTTTTCATAGTCAACAATACGGGTTTACTAGTAATAGATCGACTAGCGATACGAGGGTAGCGTTACTAAAACACATCTTTGATGCATGGAAAAGGTCCCAGAACGCTATTAGTGTGTTCTGTGATCTCTCAAAGCATTTGATTGCGTTGATCATATTACTCTTATTAGGAAGCTGGAACATTACGTCTCTCATTACGTTGTCTCGTCATATCTCAATGGTAGAATTTAGAAAGTAGACATAAATAGAGTGACTTCTTTGGGTACTCCGGTAAAAATGGGTGTTCCAAAGGGCTCAATTCTTGGACCTTTCCTATTTCTGATTTATATGAATGATCAGCCATTCTTTGTTAAGGACCATTGCGAAATAGTGTTGTTTGCTGATGACACATCCTTGATTTTTAAAACAGACAGACATGACATTAGCTATGACCATATTAATGATACCCTCTCTAATGTAGTTTATTGGTTTAATGCTAACAATTTATTGCTTAATGCCAAGAAGACAAAATGTGTTAAATTTGAATTACCTAACGTAAAATCGACTAGTCCGAGCACAGGAATAAACGGAGAAAAGTTAGACTTTGTAAATAAAGCAGTCTTCTTGGGAGTGACCTTATATAAACTTATGTAAACTTCAATAGTTTCCACATATATCTTCCCTGGCCAGCAGATTAAGCTCCGCTGCATACGCAGTCCGCAGAATACGTGAGCTACCGATGTTAGTACTGCTAGACTAGTTTACTTTAGTTACTTCCATAGTATAATGTCCTACGGGATTCTCATGTGGGGTAAAGCGGCAGATATTCAAACCACATTGGTATTGCAAAAACGAGCGATTCGTTCTGTGTACCGTCTAAGCTCTCGGGTTTCTCTCAGAGAAAAGTTTAAGGAGACTGGTATCATGACTGTGGCATCACAGTACATTTACTTAAAAATTTTATATGCCCGTAAAAATATACATTTCAATAAGAAAGAAGATTTCCATAATATTAACCTTAGAGCTAAGTCCAAACTCTTTGTACCACGATTTCGTTTATATAAACAACTCTTTTATGGGGAACTGCATACGTTTTTACAATAAGATTCCGGAGCATATACTCGTATTAAGTTTATCATTTCCTAAGTTTAAAAACTACATTAAAAATATTTTGGTCGAAAAATCATATTACTAAATTGAAGACCACGTGTTAGATAAAGATGCATGGCACTATAACCACAACAAAAACAATGCAATTATATTGCATCTTTCTTTATTATATCTTGTTCACGAAATTATTATGAATTTGTATATTAATTGATGTGCTTTGATGTTACCACAATAAAAATATTCAACTGTGGATTTGTTTTAGTTCTGCCCGGAATGGAAAAGTGACGAAATGTGCGAGTATCGACAGACAAGAGCACTAAAGTGCGTTGAAGAGATGGACAACTACACCCAAGCTGACATGGACAAGTTTTGGGGAAATTAATGGTTATCAAGCATAACAGCATAACAGCAAACAGATTACTTTGTGACAAATACTGTAAAACTGTAAAACAAAAAACAGATTTTTTTTTATCACTGATTGTTTTATAATAATATAACATATAATATTTTAGTAACAGTCGAGCACCGTGTGAAAGAGTTCTTCCAGTGAAGTACTGCCTTACCTATTTCTGTCGCCAAGCAGCAATGCGTTCTGGTTTTGAAGGGTAAGAGTGCTGGTGAAATAACAGGCACATGGGATTTGTCAACTTGTATCATGTCGCAGGGTGACAGGCGCAGTGGCATTGTCCCTCAGGTCTTTGCGATTTAAAGCTCTGCAACCTGTATGGACAGGCGCGTCGCTTAACACCATTCGCTCGACTTGTTCGTCCTGTCATTTTCTATTAGAAAAAGTAATATTAAATTTTCTTTATTTAAACATCATAGATCCATTTGTTAAAAAGGACGAAAACTTACATACTAATTATTAATACAAAGATCGAAAACACTTACAAAAAATTCCTTTGACCCGGCCGGATTCGAACCGACGTCTTCTAGCAAACCGTGGCAGACGCTATGCCAACTAAGCCACGGAACGAACCAGCGGACCTCACGAATTTTTCCATGTGCTTGTTGTCGAATCTTTGTATTTGGTTGTCAACGACTTTTTAGCCATAGCTCCATCTATGAGAAGTCTATGAAAGTATATCGTCACCCATTTTAATAACTTACATACTATTTAATAAACATTAATCGAAGTGTCAGATCAACACACCAATAAATTACATAAGCATACCTTGCACCAATTTATATGTTTAGGATGCTGTTAGAGCTGTTCCTAGTCCCCTGCAGTGAGGATGCTGTCTTCTTCCTAATCATTGCATAAAAAATGTCAGTTTGCATTTCTACAAAGACCCCGAATCCGTTATTATATAGAATGCGGAGAGCGTTGAACGAATTCTTAGTCTACTTTTTCTTATTGAATCGATGGCATTAGTGCAAATTTTTAAGAACATTCTCTATTTGATCCGAGAACTTATTTCAATGTTGCTTCTTTGTTGGTTCTATGGTTCTACTTTCATACTTCTTCTTATCATATCGATGACATCCACTACAATGCTTGCCATCTTGGTCATAATAATATAGGTGCACGCAAGCCGGCACAGAGACATTATCAGTCAGGTCCAGAAGGGTCTGGATCTGGAGGGATCTGGGAAGATCAGCACGTTTACACAGACTTCGTCCGGTTCTCAAAAGGGGCATAATAACAATCATTCCAATGTGTTATGTGAAAATGTCGCTGGTTCAAAAGTATACATAAAGAAAATTTTAATTTTAGTTTTAAGGCCTTGTGTACCATATGAAGACACTAAATATATATTCAGTATTGAATATTGAAAGTTATTAATATTGCAATACATATGGCGCACTATAAATTTCCGGAACTGGCCACTTATATAAACAATATTTAAAAGGTATTTTAAAGGTACAACATTTGAAAATGGAACTCTTTGGCTGTAGAATACCGTTTGTTTCATCTGACTGTCACTTGTTTTTACATTGTGGCGTCATTTTACAAATTGGTTGTCTACATCATCATGAATTTAACTCGTGAAAATTTTCGTAGTATGTTTTACTACGACTTTAAGTGCAATTTAACACCTCAGCGGAGCTTCGCTCGACTTCAATCTGCTTTCTGGGTCTTTCGAGATAAGTCGAAACCAACCAAAGTGGCGCGCGTGCAAAGTGCCTCTAAGCGTACGTACATTAAGCCGTATATTACCCACCACACAGCTGTTACGAGATCACGGGCAATTCCAGCCCAGATCCAGCTATCATGACTACGATATCTATCTTAATTTTAATTTTAGATGTAGCCAACCCAAAGGCTGCCTTTCTACAAAAGATGTGCTAGGTAGCTAGGTGGTGAGAGGATGTACGTGGTCGTGTTACGGACTCTGTTCAGTTATGTGCGGGCGGGTTACGGTGTGGTGGAGTGAGCGGTGGCGATGTGTCAGTCAGTGTCAGTTAGTGTCATACTTTACGTAGCTCTAGTTTCCTACACCGTTTTGCACTCATTCCTCGCACACATCTCTCACTATTTTGTATGTCCGAATACTTAGCTCCGCTAACCCTTTTCTACCGGAGATGCGCTAAAAGAGGCTAGGAATATGAAGTAATCCAACTGGCGGATTTTTTCCTCGCACACCACTTCGCTACGTCGCACATCTCTGGTGGAAAGGGAGCCTTAGCCTGGTTAAAGTTGATTCAGTGCACAAAATGTAAACTTAAATTTTATCAAGTGAAAACAAAAACACAATTTATCAATATCAAGCAATGTGTTAGTTAATATTTTACATTTATTTAGCTACACTTAGTACTGTAAAAGATAATTTCGTATTAATCATTGATAAATAAATTAATTCCAATTGATCGTAGCGAAATAAAACCTACCACCAAAATATTTTCCCGGCTATACATGTTATTACTACCTAATACCTACCAAAGACTAATCTAAAAAGTTTCAGACAGTACAAGAAAAACTTAGAATATGATTATTGATAAATCTATTATATTGAAAAGTCACAGAACAAAAGTTGTTGTTTATGATGTTAGTAATGTAGTCCTGGGAGGTTGTTTGTTTTTTTAAAATATAACCCTGAAAAAGGAATAAGAAACTCACGTTTTTATTGACGATTTCGATAGTTCAACAATTTACACTGTGAGCGCTGAGTGAACAAGTCCCAGATATTTTTCGAAACCGGTTCTGATCTGGATGTTCTGAGGAGTGCTTCGGGGTGAATTTCCCACTCAGGGCCTGTAGTTTCATTTCCCGTCCGACATCCGTCCGAAACAATTACTGTCAAATATACAATACTTGTACCAAATTAAGAAAAGCATGACGCGAACGAAGCTTTTTTTTTACTACTTGGTACAGTCGATGTCCTAAGATATCTGACCCCTCACCGACCGCGACCCCTGCAGCGCGGGTACCATGGACACATATATCGACACACAAATTACACCCAAACTTACGAGGGAAATAGATGTATAATAATTGTATAGTTATATCATATATTAGTTAAATAGTTATATTTATTTATTTTGTACAACTTACACTTACAATATAACTTATATATTTACATAGATATTTCATTTAATTATAAGACACCATTACAGTACATCATAAATACATTACAATATAGCCAAATACAAGACTAGTAAGTAATTTACATTTCACGCAATCTCATAAATAAACATATTAAACTAAGAATTCACCCACTGGCAATTTTTTTATCATCTAGTAAGACGAAGACACTTATAATGTAATCTTTTTGTTCAGTGTCACTGGCACTATTTGCACCTTGGCCGTCATTGACGTAAAATGATGTGCACATGACACACAGTCAAGTTGCACGGTAATGCTAGTAGCTGGAGAATACCTTGTGAAAGAACTCGCCAGTGAAGTACTGCCACCTTACCTATTTCTGCTGCCAAGAAGAAATGTCAGCATTACTGTGTCCCGGTTTTGAAGGGTAAGGGTGCTGGTGAAATTGCAGGCACATGGGACTTGTTATCTTATGTCTCGGTGTGACGGGCGCTGTGGTAGTGCCCCTCAGATCTTTGCAATTTAAAGCTCTGAGTGGCACTGTAACTGTTATGGACAGGCGTTTAGTTTACCATCGGACGCACGACTTGTTCGTCCTGTCACTTGATGTTACAAATAAAAATAATATGTAAATGACTACAAGCGAAAGCATTCATGAGATTTGAAATTTCTTTTTGAACTAGCGCTGTTTGTTTCTAGGGTTATTCTGTGGAAGAATGTATAGTTATAAAGGTAAGAATAGACATAACTGCATTTGCGGAAGTGTACATTTGAAATCATTTTCTGAAATAAACTTTTTTAATACATAATATTTAGTTCTTTAGGTTTTCTCTATTGCTATGCATGTGGAATGAAACTAATTTTGCGTTTAAAAGGGATTTTTTATTGTATTCAATTTATTGGTAGAAATTATGTACAAAGTCAACCGACACAAAATTGATGTTTTTTTCTAAAATTTACTTGTAAAGTGAGAACTTTTTCCATTGTAACCCAGGAATGGTAAATAAAATTTTGTGATTTATGACTCAAATTCCCAGAAAACAGTCAAAGAATTTCATTTTGAAAATAAATTTTAGAACGACTATTTTTTTACAAAAAAACGAAAATATTTTTACAATTCAACATTTTTCACACATTTTAGTCATCAGTACAATGTTGCGAAATAAATGGACCACCGACAGATCCAGACACAATTGCAGATATAAGGAAATGTTTTGAGGGCATTCCCAAAACGGATACAGAAAATGTACGTAATATCGTCCCTGTCTTCACTAACTGATGTACCTGACGTATTGTTAGATACGCATATTAAAGCCTAGCCTTCGAAACGAATATGCTCCGCTTATTGTCGGGTTGACTTTTTATACACCATCGAGCTACACGTGCAAATTATAAAAAAATATTATCAAAACGGATGTCCTATTGCGGCAATGTTGGACACGTAATAGACTGCCTCGGATTTTCCTGAACACTCACGAACCGCGGTGATGTTTTCGGCAGATCTTCTTCGACTCGCAGGTCTACTATGTAAACCGTAAAACGGGCGCAACTTATGCATCATTGCCGCAATAGAACACCCATTTTGATAATATTTTCTTTTAATTTGCACGTGTTACTTGACGTGTCATATGATCTGTCTTTAGTGACTGAAAAGTAAACACAGATTCGACAAAATCAGCCTCAACAACATGGCCGCTGTGAACTGTCAAAATCTACCCGTCCTTAACGGAAAACCCTTTAAAACCCTAAAGGAGACGAAAAATCATGGCGTCATTTGAATGTAATTAATTCGTTTATAAACTTTTTACAGTAATTAGTTCGAAAGGTCAAACGATGACGACGAAAAGACAGACAATAAATGGGACATTACAATCTTATTTAATGAATTATAAATTTTTAGTGTGAAGTCGACATATGTATAGCACAAAGAAAAGGTTATATGGCACCAGGAAGACAAATAAACAAGGATGTATTAGACGAAGAAATGACTCATAGCTTTGGTCATATACCGAATTTGCTGAAACTTGTAAAGGAAAATTGTGTCTATGGTAATTTGTCAAGATTTGGTTCAGCCTGTGAGTTCATTCTTACTAGGCGATGCATACATTTACATATGATAGCGGTAAGTATAAAAACGTTTTGGTAAAATACAACCTAGTTGAGCCACAATGGCATTAAAAATTATTGTCAATTTTTTAATTATTTTACAGAATTTTTTGTACTTGCCATCAACTTATTGAAGAGCCATGCTCTTGTCGATATAACCTTCTGCATTCACCTTAACATTCGTTATGATTTTCAGTCAGTTTCTTGAACTCTTTATAGTAACTCAGTCTGAACTTCTCTTTTGTTTGCTCACACTGAGTACACATCTCAGTCTTCCTATTCTTTTCGTTTCTTCTATATCCCAAATTCTAGGCCCAAATCAATGAAATCGATTTTAAGAATTCTATGTTATATTTTTTTAAATTATCATTAGAGACCACATCGACATTTGAGAGTTAATACTTAGGATCGTAATCAGGTCTGAATCGATCAATTGCATGGTTTTTTTTTTGCATTGCATTTAACGTAAAGATAAGAAAATGGCCTGGTAATTTTCCTAAATATTTAGTTAGGTTCTAGCACAGATAATATAATATTTTACTAGTACAGATACCCAATCTCATACAAAGAAATGTCGCACTCGTAACCCAGCTGATTTTGATTCTTAACGCTGATCACTGGATGGCACCAAGTAAACCCGCGATGCGATTGTAATAATATTCAAAAAGGGCAACAAATGGCAGCTATTACATTATTGTCAAGGTTATTGCTCTTGTTCAGGCGGTTATTATAATATACAATAACATATAATAAAATCGCAAAGAAGCTGAGGCAGTTACTTTTAATATTTTAAATAAAAAGTTAGTGCTAAAACGTTACTTACTTTGAAGAAAAAATTCACAGAAGTACCATCCATATAATTGATTGCAAATTAACAAATCAAAAAAATATTATTGAGAAACCTTCGATGTGTTATTTTTTCAACGCTAACGCTAGTTAAATGTATTCACCAATTTTCGTAATTGTAAATGAATTTGAATTTTAATATTCCTAAAGCGTTGTTTAAATAGTTTTGCACATTGACTTACAATTATATGGACGTCGCGTCCGCGCTAAAAAGTGTCCGAACTTATAGGGCGTTAAAATCGTATACAGAGCGTCTTTCACGCTTTAGTCTTCGTTTGTTCGACTGACAGCGAAGCAAGCAAAATTAGACAGTACTGCGATGACATTACAATTTAAATTCAACGTTTTAGCTTTTTCATATTCCTTTACATGTCACTACGTTTAAATAGGTTGACTTGGGACATTTTTTTTGTGGTTTTTGTAAATGATTTAATCCATAGCTAAAATAAGTTTACACCTGAAAACGTCATTTTTGAAGCTACTGCTCGTTCATTGTGCTGACTTCCCTGAGAAGAATGAGCAAGCATTTTAGTTATTATATAATTTTAATTATTTTATATAATTTTAATACATGCTCCGGAATCTTATTGTAAAAACATTCCTAAATATATAATTCCCCATTAAAGAAGCGTAAGGGTACCGGTGAAATTACAGGCACATGGGACTTATCAACTTATGTCTCAGGGTGATGGGCGCCGTGGCAGTGCCCCTCAGATCTTTGCAATTTAAAGCTCTGAGTGCCACTGTCATTGTTAAGGACAGGTGTGTAGCTTACCATCACGGACACGACTTGTTCGTCCCGTCACTTGATATTATAAAAGAAAGAAGAATCGTTTGCCTTATTTAAACGAAACCGTGGTACTATGAGTTTCAATTTTAGATTAGAAAAGGTTAATATTATTCAGTTATCATCTTTCTTAATTAAATTATGTACTTATTCCAATCAATGATGGCGTGGTAGGGAAGAGTGTAAAAAAAGTGCACTTGTTCCCGCCACAGGGGACAGCTGGTAGGAACTAGTGGAACAGGCCTATTTTTACGGGTATACAAAATATTTGAGTAAAATGTACAGTGATGCCATAGTCATAATACCAGTTTCCTTAAACATTTCTCTGAGAAAAAATGCAACACAAATATGGTTTGTGTATCTATCTGCGCTTCACCCCACATGACAATAATAAAGTAAGATTATAATGTAATAATAGTTCAACGCAATTTAAAGGCGGTTTATGATTTTAGTCACAATGAATAGAATATGTACCTACGTTGGTAAGATATATACTTGTTTATCAAACATGATTTCTTTTAATTGTCTCAAAGAAATCTGCCTTACGAATGAGCAGTCGAGTTTAATCAATATGACGATTTCAAATGTAATTTGGTTACCTATGAAATGAAGATTATATGACTTTGACTTAAAACTCTCATTGCTTCGTTTTTTGTATCAGTAAGCACGAAGATGATAATATATTAATTACCACTTCGGCTTGCACCCTTGTACCAAGGGAAAGGGCTCATTCGTGGTAATGCATACGCGTCCAAAAAAGATCGGGCCGATGCGCGACGACGAGTTGTCATTCTGTAATTGGTTGATCATTCATATGAAAAGGGCGGGGCCAGTGTGTGGTTGTCGGTGGTCGTTGACCTTTCAAGGAAGTCTTTAAAATCTTGAACCGTGTGAGGTCGTCTTTACGTTCCACGTGTAAATGAATCACTTACCTACTTATAAGAAGGATAATTAATAATGACATATTCTCTTAAATTACAAAATATATTACTATTAGTAACTAAGAAATCCAATATTACATTCAGATTCGTGTACACTAATAGAAAGATAAAAGCACTATAACCACAACAAAACCATTAAATTATATTGTATCTTTCTTTATTATATCTTGTTCACTACATAATTATGAATTTGTATATAAATTGACGTGCTTTGATGGTTACCACAATAAAAAATATTCAACTGTGGATTTGTTTTTAGTTCTGCCCGGAATGGAAAAATGAGGAAAAGTGCGAGAATCGAAAGGAAAAAGCAGTAAAATGCGTTGAAGAGATGGGCAAGTACAGCCAAGCGGACATGGAAAAGTTTTGGGGAAAATAATGATTATCAAGCATAACAGCAAACAGATTACTTTGTGCCAAATACTGTATTTGTTTGTGTATTTAGAAATTAAAACAAAAAACAGTTTAATTTTTTTGTAATACACTAATTGTTTTATGATAATATAATATATAATATGTTAGTAACAGTAGACCACCTTGTGAAAGAGTTGGTCCCGTGAAGTACTGCCTTACGTATTTCTGCCGCTAAGCAGTAATGCGTTCCGGTTTTGAAGGGTAAGAGTGCTGGTGAAATAACAGACATATGGGATTCGTCAACTTGTATCATATCACAGGGTGACAGGGTGACAGGCGCAGTGGCAGTGTCCCTAAGATCTTTGCGATTTAAAGCTCTGCAACCTGTATGGACAGGCGTGTCGCTTTACGTTATCTGGACTACAAAACTAAACAATTTTCATCAGGTTATGAGCATAGGTGTACTAGGTATCATTTTTTGCCGCTTCGTATCCGTCGAGACATTAGTGACGTCAGTTTTCTGATGGGGATCGCCAACGGTAAGATTGATTATCCGGAATTTTTGTCACACATAAACCTGCGCACAAACTTGTTGCATTACAGATGTCGACCACCTCTGCAAGTGCCGTTTGCGAGCACTAATTATAGGCAAAATACGTACACGGTGTTTTGAGACTTTATAACAATGCGACAGTAAATCATTCTGAGTTTGATTTGTTTTGTTCAAGCATAGACACAGTCAGGCGTGAAATGACCAAACGTCACTTTGACACATCACGTGACTGGCGATGAATACACTGGTTTGTTCGTTTAATTCTTAGACTGTTTTTCTTTTACCATCCTCTAAGGTTTAATTGTATATTAATAGTAATTTTTTATTTTATTTTTTAAATTTATTGACTGCGTTATTTGTTTTCTCCTGTAATCTCTTTTTGGCTTGCTAAGCACTTTATATTGTTTCATGTTGGTGGAAATTCGTAAATGGCATTGGATTACTCATATTTAAGTTTACTATAATTGTATTATTTGTCCGTGAATTTTCCTAAAATGTATAAATAAAAAAATAAAATAATAAAATAACACCATTCGCTCCACTTGTTCGTCCTGTCATTTTCTATAAAAAAAAAATAATATTAAATTTTCTTTATTTAAACATCATTGATCCATTTGTTAGAAAGAACGAAAACTTATGTAATTGAACAATTAGAAAAAATTTCTTCGATCTGGCCGGATTCGAACCGTCTTCTAGCAAACCGTGCTAGACGCTATGCCACGCAACAAACCAGCGGGCCTCACGAATTTTTCCATGTGCTTGTTGTCGGATGTTTGTATTTGGTTATCAATGACTTTTTAGCTGTAAGGCTTGATTGATATCGCGTAGACGCTATGCGACGCGGCGCGGGCTGCATTCAAGCGAGCAATGCAAGACAAATTTTGACCTCAACAAAAAGCAACATTTCATTAAACAATCTAATGAAAACGAAGATGCAGTAACTGACGGCGGGCTGCAGAGAGCTGCGGTAGGCGCACTTTATAAAATGCAATATACTATAGAACATATATTTTCCACATAATAAAGTATACATTTCTTCAAACAACAAAAAACAAAAAAGAAAAGCCGCGCTGCGTTGCCTACGACAGGTAACTATCGGCGACTTGTTCCGCCTCCAGCAATGCAAAGTGTAACTTAGCTTCTCAACAATAAGGTACATTTTTTTGAAAGGCTTATTACGTGGTAGATGCAATGTAGTATAGAATTTCACATTTACTAAACAAAGTCGATATTTCTTTGAAAGCAAAGCAAAAAGCAGCGCTGCGTTGGCCTGTGCCGCCGACTGTCACCTACCGTGGCGCGGCTTTTCTCTTTTGATAGAAGCAATAAACACTTTATTCAGTAGATAATATGTTCTATATTATAATGCATATTATAAAGTGCGCCTGGAGTAGCTCGAAATCTCCCGCGGCCGCTTGCTGCCGCCTCTACTATCGTCGTGTTTAAGCAGTTTGTAGATTATTGATGCAAATAATATTGCATTGCATTACCGGTAGAACCAATTTCGGAAATGTACTTTTCTAAAGTGCTTAGGTGTGCTGGATAGTGCCCCGGAGCGAACTTCGTAGTCGTATGTTCCGAGTTCGACTCCCGGTAGAACCAATTTGAAAATGAACTTTTCTAAAGTGTTTTTGCCTAGGTGTTCTGGGTAGTGCCTCGGAGCGAACTTTGTAGCTCTTGGTTCCGGGTTCGACACCCGGTAGAACCAATTTTGAAAATGAACTTTTTGTAAAGTGTTTTTAGCCGCCTAGGTATTTTGGGTAGTGCCGTGAAGCGAACTTCGTAGTCTTATGTTCCGAGCTCGACTCCCGGTAGAACCAATTTCGAAAATGAACTTTACTAAAGTGGTTTTTGCCTAGGTGTTCTGGGTAGTGCCGCGAAGTGAATTCCGTAGCTCTTGGTTCCGGGTTCGATTCCCGGTAGATGCAATTTGGGAAATGAACTTGAGAATAGTTCATTTTCAAAATTGGTTCTACCGGGAAACTTGAGAATAGTTCATTTTCAAAATTGGTTCTACCGGGAATCGAACCCGGAATCAAGAGTTACGGAAATCAGTCCGCGGCACTACTCAGAACACCTAGGCTAATACCATTTTTTTTAAAAATCATGTTCAAAATTGGTTTTACCGGGAATCGAGGCCGCAACCAAGAACTACGGAACTCACTCCGCGGCATTACCCAGAGCACCTAGGCCAAAACCACGTTAGAAAAGTATACATTTCCAAAATTGGTTCTACCGGTAATGAAACCCGGGATGTTCTCATCCACGCAATATTATTTGCATATAATCTACATATTGCTTAAACACGACCACTCATCCATAAAGTAGATGCAGCAAGAGGTCGAGCTTTGCCGGGCGCACTTTATAATATGCATTATAATATAGAACATATTATCTACTTAATAAAGTATATATTGCTCAAAAGAGATTTTGCTTGGCTTTCAAAGAAATATCGACTTTGTTTAGTTTATTTTATATATAATATTATATACTACATTGCATCTACCACGCAATCTGCCTTTCAAAGAAATCTATCTTATTGTTGAGAAGCTAAGTTACACTTTGTATTGTCAGAGGCGATTCAAGTGGGCGGAGTCGTGAAACACGACGCGTCACGAGGCTTGATTCTTTTGTTTTTTGTTGTTTGAAGAAATGTATACTTCATTAAATAAAGAATATGTTCTATAGTATATTGCATTTTATAAAGTGCTCCTGCCACACCTCTCTGCAGCCCGCCGCCCCTTGAAGGAGCTTCGTTTTCATGTGTTTGTTTAATGAAATCTTGCCTTATTTTGTAGACGATAAAGTTAAAGTTGCATTGCTCGTTTTAACGTAGCGCCGCGTCGCGTCGCATAGCGTTTACGCGATACGAATCAAGCCTTACTCCATCTATGACAAATCTATGAAAGTATTTAGTCACCTAGTTTAATAACTTACATACTACATAGTAAACATTAATCGAAGTGCCAGACCAACACACCAATACAATACATAAGCATAGGTTCCACCAATTTGATGCTTAACATGTTCAGGATGCTCTTAGAGTGAGGGTGCTGTCTTCTTCGTAATCATTACATAAAAAATGTCAGTTTGCAATTCTACAAAGACCCCGAATCCTTAATATAATATTATATTGAATGCGGAGAGTGTTCAACGAATTCTGAGTCTACTATTTCTTTCTATCGAACCTAGAATAGTGCAAATTTTTAGGAACATTCTCGGTTTGATTGATACTTCTTCTTATCATATCCATGACATCTACTATAATGCTTGCCATCTTGGTAATAATAATATAGGTGCACGCAAGCCTGCATAGGGACCTTATCAGTCAGGTCCAGAGGGGTCTGGATCTGGGCAGATCAGCCCGTTTACACGGACTTCGTCCGGTTCTCAGGAGGGGTATAATAACAATCGTTCCAATGTGTTATGTGAAAATGTCGGTGGTCCGAAAGTATACATAATAGACCTTGTGTTAGCATATGAAGACAATAAATATATTGAGTATTGAATATTGAAATTTATTAATATTGCAATATTTCCTTCACTCGTTTATTTTATTTTCTTATTTGATTTCAAAAAGTCACTACGTCCTTTGTAACACGTGAGGTAATAACGCCGGAATTACTTCTAAGTAGTTTGGTCTTAACATTTACTCCCTAACCACAAGTCATGGGCAAAAGTGGAAACTCCGCTTCACCAATACGGGTTAAGTTTCTAAAACACTTCGTTTTACGACGTTTGACGTTTCACGTTATACTTGGAATTAACTGTACCTCTATAATATAGTACAATCCATAAATACGAACTCTGAAACTTTGTACTATAGTCTGTTCCAATCTATTGTACCAGAAAAGTAAACAAGCAGATCATTGACCCGACCATAGACAGTTTAGTGATGACCAACTATACTGCCAACTAGAAATCCATCAATTAATTGAATGAATCGATTTATTTAATTGAATCAACTGGAATAACTGGGTTTTATATAATAAAATGGGCTTTGCGATTTCGCTGCTGATTACTATAAAAAATATGTGATTAAATACTAAGTGATGTACCTACTGTAATCAATAAAAGTAAATTTACAATTTCCGTTTCTAAATCTAATTTTAAATCTTCCTTCAAATCCTTACACTTAGATATTCGTTCGATTGGTATTAAATTTTCGATTCACTAGTCGATTACAAAAACTTTAATTAAATGAACCGAATGAATTATTTCTAAGCAACTGTAGATTGCCCACAAGTCTATATTTGAAAACTAACCTCACTTTTGAACTAACATTTTCAAATAAGATTTAATATGATAATTCCATTGACTTACAATTATATGGACGTCGGGTCCGCGCTAAAAAGTGTCCGCACTTGTAAGGCGCTAAAATCGTATAC